TCTGAAGAAAATAAACAGGCTGATTAGCTAGATAATGGGAAAAGTGTGAATGAGGGGAATAGAAATGTCTACATTAAAAGCACAGTTAAAGAAAAGCCTAAGAAAGAATCATTTTAGCTCTGTCCTAGGGGATGGAAAAGGAGGTAGGGTTACAAAGGTGTGGAGTAAGAGTGACTCAGACATGGGTAGTAGCATGTGCACAGACCTTTTGGTGATGGCACTTGACATTTTCAAGGCATAGCAGGAAGCCAGTGTGTCTAGAGCAGAGAGGGAGAGAGGAAGTATGGCAGGAAATGAGGCCCAAGAGGCAGTGGGAGACAAGATCACACAGTGCTTTTTAGGTCTTATTAAAGAGTTTGTATTGTATTCTAACTGTGATGGGAACTTCTTGGCAAGTTTTGAGTAAAATCAGAATGATCTGACTTAATATATTAAAAGATCACTTGGAGGCAGAATATATGGTAGAGAGAGAGAGTCAGATATAGGATATATCTGGAGGTGGTATCAACTAGACTCAGTGGATCGAATGTGGAGAGTGAGAGAAAGAGAAAGATATGGGATGGTTTCTAGGTTTGGGTAACAGTATACAGAGGAACCATTTCCAGAAGAGGAAAAGCTGCAGACTATTACCTGACAGTGGAATTCCTCAGCCTTTCATTTCCCTATCAAGATCTTTATGTTGTTATGTTAATAGCTCCCATAATACCTGGCCTGATAGAATAACTAAAAAGATCCTAAGTAATAAAATTCCCAGCCAGGGATCTTAAAACTCCATTTTTACCTGGGAGGCAAACAGTAGGAGGAAAATAGCATTGGAGACCTACTCTTCAGCCTATGTTAATAGCCATCTATATTTTAATTGTTGATGAATGAAATTTCTACAATCTACTGGCCTAAGACAGTGTCAGGGTCTGTCACACACCCTGAATGACAGATTTTAAAAGTGCTATCATATAAGCCCTTCTAATCTGCCCTATGCTGACTACAAAAGCACTATGGCTATGTCAACTGTAGGAAATGTATATCTGGAAAATAAATTAAAAAGAAAGAAATACATGCTCCAGAGTCTGGAAGATATAATTTTACAGGCAATAACTCTGAGTATTATTAGATAGAATGTCTGTTCTTGCACATAAAAGGATGCACAACATCATTAGTCATAGGGAAATGCAAATCAAAACTACAGTGAAGTATCACATCATACCACTAAAATGGCTGTAATAAAAAAAGACAGACATGAACAAATTTTGGCAAGGATGTGGAGAAGTCAGAACCCTCATGTGCTTCTGGTGAGGATGTAAAATGATATAGTCTCTTTGGGAAATGTTCTGCTAGGTCCTCAAAATGTTAGTCAAAAAAAGTTACTATAGGACTCAGTAAGTCTACTACTAGGTATATTCCCAAAAGAAATGGAAACATACATCCACACAAAAAACAGAACCCAATTGTTCACAGCAGTTTTACTCATAATTGCCAAAAAAAGTAGAAACAGTCAATCATTCTATCAACTGATAAATAGAGAAATATAACATAGATACCTATATAATTAAATATTTTCAACAATAAGAAGAAATCAACTGATGATACATTCTACACATGGATAACCTTGAAAACAGTATGCTAAGTGAAAGTGGCCAGACAAAAAACACTTTGTTTTTTGGCATGGTTGTAGGATGCCATTTATATGAAATATCCAGAAGAGGCAAATCCACAGACATAGAAAGCAGATTAATCACTGCCAAGGGCTACTGTGGGGGGATGAATAAAAAATTTGAGTTTCTTTTGGGGTGACAAAAACATTCTGGAATTAGATACTGGTGATGATTACACAGCTCTGTAAATACACTAAAAATACCAAACTGTACAATTTAAATGATAGATTTTGTGGTATGTTTATTAAATTTCAATACAGCTGTCTTTCTGAAAAAAAAATATTTTCTCAATGGGCCACTCTCCATAAACTTCCAGAACAGCATTAGACTTTCTGTGATGATGGAAATGTTCTATAGCTGCACTGTCCAATATGGTAGAAACTGGCCACATGTAACAACTAAGCACTTAAATGTGGCTTGTGTTACTTAGGACTGAATTTTTTATCTTAATTATTTAAAACTTAAAAGCTACATGTTGTAAGTAATTATTATATTGGACAGATCAGCTGTAGAGTTTATACAGAAATTTAGAATTTCTATTCAAAATTTATCCTCAACTTGTCCTTCCTCACCAATGAATTCTTCAAGAAGGAAAAATGGAGCTGCTTTACCTTTCCATTTTTACCATATCCTGACTGATTCTGACCAAGTTGACCTCTACAACATAAGTACTGATTTTTATTTACATGAGTCTGGGGCCCTCCCATGTCAAAAGGAGTCCTGGTCAAGATGTCTCTGTATATGTGAGAACTTCTCAAGACAGTTGACTCCAGCCCAGATTGACTATACAGTATATGAATAAAAGGTACTAAGGTTCTAACCATAGAGTCTGCTTTAAGCATCCTGTGATCATGTGTCACAAAATTCCAGTCATTCTTACAGTCAAGAATATTTTAAAATGTATTACCCTTTTTCAGATAACAAAGCCTGTCATTCCACTGTGTGTGTGTGTGTGTGTTTATGAGAGAGAGAGAGAGAGAGAGAGAGAGAGAGAGAAAGAGAGAGAGAGAGAGAGAGAGAGATGATAAGATATACTTTGGTTCAACTACATTAGCCCTATGGCTTTAACTCAGAGACACCCAACTCCCTTATCATGCAAACATAATATAACTAATAGCCAGCACCAGTAAGAGGAAGGAGCATATTATGCACTGAATGTTTATATTCTCCCAGAATTCATATGTTGAAGCCCTAGCCTGCAATGCAATAGTTTCAGGATGTGTGACCTTTGGGAGATACTAGTTTTAGATGAGGTTGTGAAGGTGGAGGCTACATGATAAAGATAAGTGCCCTCTATAAGAGAAAGATAGCAGATGCCCCCCACTCCACGATATTAATACACTTGGAAGAAGGTGGCCCTCTAAAAGCCAGAGAGTCCTCACAAGAAACCAAATTGGCTAACACCATCTTGGATTTCCCACTCTCCACAACTGTTATAAATAAATGTCTGTTGTTTAAACTACCCACTCATGGTGTTTTCTTGTGACAGCCCAAGACTAACTAAGACAGAGCACTAAAAAACTTAAATCCTTCTGACAACCTAAGCTCTGGGCACTCTCCACTCACTCCTACTTTATTCTTTACCTCCAACTATTCAGTCCCTGGCCTTGGTCTTTATCCTATTCTTGCAAACTCATTCTCACCCCTTGGACTTTATGGCAGAGTTTGTTTCTCCATCTCAACCTTTAGCATTCTTCTATGAACACACTTTGTTCACTCTGGTTCCATCCAGTTAGAGCATTTCTGAGTCACCCTCTGCTTCATCTGGCCCTAATCTCTTCCCTACCACAACCCTCACAGTTGGGAGGCTGGTGACTCTTATGGAACCTGAAGGGAACTCAACCTTAGTTATACTATAATTTCAAGGATAAGAGTCTACTTTTTCCAAGAAAAAACTGGTGCATTTCACACCATTCAAAGGATAATTTAATTGTTTGGTGACCTAAAGGAATCATTGCCTTGACTTACGAATTTGAGACTAAAACAGTCTGGAAAACCTTGTGACAGGTTTAAAATGACCTTCACAAGTTTAAAAACCACATTTATCATAATTTTCATGGAACAATGGCATTCCTTAAAAAAATCTCCTGAACTTTTCAGTATTTTTTATTTAATGACCACACTAGACTCCTATATCCCTCCACTACTAAATTACTCTATTCTGTGCCCCATAATCCTTCACACAAAACTGACAAGGATTTTATCATATGCACCACCACCATATAGATGTTCAAAGTTTTATAATTGCACATTTCATTAATTTATTCTATCAGTACATATGAACTGTGTTTCTAACATATGTGTTAAGACTGGGGTTGGATATTTTGGGTAAAGAAATAGAGAAAACAGAGTTTCTTGGATTTGAGGAAACAGGCAGAAGAAAGATAAATCAACATCTTAGCATGTAGGCAAGGCCAGGTGATAGAGTTTGCCACTGTGCCCTGTAGGCCCCATTTCAACCTTTATTATAAAAAAAAAAAAAAACATGATTTCCCATCAGGCCCTGCACACAGCAAGGAGCTAGTCAGTGTTTGTTATTGATGGTGATGATGATTTGGTATTTTTCCAGAAGATTGACTCTAAAATCTGAGTACTGTTCAGATTGAATCCCAGGTCAGTTTCATCAGAAATTGTCACTCACTGGATCTTATGACCTTTTCACTGAAGACTGATGAACTAAATGAGAGCTGTTATCAACTGAATTTAGTTAATATGGATGTGATTGCCATTTTTTAAGACGCCTTCTCCTTAAGTGTCCAAATTACCAGCCACTTCAGTGAACTGTCTTAATCATCTATTCAGTACAAAACAGAAGCAAAAATATCTATCTCCACTCCTGTTACAGTGTGTAGGTAAGGTCTGGGCCCTTCCAGTCATGAGCCTGTGTGTTACTGTAAATCAGCAAGGAACTTTCTGCACATCCCAGTTTCCCTGTCTGCAGCCTACGCTCATTGCAATATATGTATAATGGAGACAGAAAGAAAGTATCACAATTCTCCAGGGAACTTTAAATAAACCATATGCATGAGATAAAATAGCCCCAAAGAAAGCCTAAATCATCTATTAGGTGTGCATTGGCCACCAAGTGTCATTTCAGAGCTGCCAGTAAGAAATACCAAGTCAGTAGTCCAAGCTACAGCCTGCTTGAGGCAGGTTCTTCATCAGTAGTACAAAGTCCTAAATGAATGCATACATTTACTGAAGCTACAGTTTGCCTTATATTGACCAAAAAGAGGCTGTTGAGAGGAAACCCAGCAAACCTCCACTGGTAATATTTTTAAGTGACTTATTTCTAGTAACTACTGCATATGAGACTTTGGAAGAGATAATAAGAATACGTTTTCTTACCTGAGAGAAAGATAAACCTTGACATGATCATCAATCCATAAAGCCTCTGAAATATGATATGTTCTTTCATTGTCTAAACCTGTGTTCAAAAAGTCAAAAATATGCCCATTTCAGACTCATAACAAATTGTATGGGACCACATTTCTTTGCAATCCATCCAAGGATTTTTCCTGTTTCTTAATGTCATGTCAGTGAACCCAAAGAGAGACACTTGCCAGATACCCTCCCTGGCTGAAACTTCATTGATTGATTTATCTATATAGTCATTAAATAAATGTTATTAAAGTCATATTATGTGCTAGACACTGTGTTACCCACTGGGAATACATTGCTGAGAAGACAAGATAGAGATACTTGCTGGTATGGGACTGTTAGCTCAGTGAGAAAGATAGATATTACAGCTGGGGCTGTAACTCAGTGGTAGAATGCTCGCCTAGCATCTGTGAGGAATTGGGTTCAATACTCAGCACCACATAAAAATAAATAAAATAAAGTCATTGTGTTCACCTACAACTAAAGAAAAATATTTTTTTAAAACAAAGACATTAAATACATAATTACAAAGTGTGATGCATTTAACATCAATGTACACAACTTCAATCCAACTACTTGCAGTTTCAAGGATCCTTAACTTTTTAGCTTAGGTTTGTTTTATTAGACATATAATTTCACAAATTTGTGGGATGCAATGTGATGTTTTGATACATGCATATCACATGTAATGATCACATCAGGGTTGAAGGAACACTATGCAAGAAGACCTTACTGACAAAAGTAACTCATCAAATCATTTCTATTTTTAAAACAGTCTGCTTAGAGAAACATAACTACCATATCAATACATTCACCCACTTTCTCTCCTTAATTGATTGTAACTAAAGCTTCTTGTTTGGGAAATATACCCTTTTTCTCAAATGGAAATTTTGTTACAACCACAAATCTTACTGAAACACTTTATAGAAATTTGGTAGTAGGATGCTGATCGGCATTATCTGATTTTAAATAAACACACTTCTGAATGATTCACGACTGATTTTAAGTATTTCTTTTCTTATAGAATAATGCAACATACTGTATTTCTTTACATTTCTAAGTGGAATTTGAAGCGAATAGACTCACATTTGACATAACAGAAGCCATTAGGAAATCAGATGAATCTTGAGCTTCCTATGAGCATCAACCCTTAATCAGGCTTTTCATATTTACCAAGTGTTCTACTGTCATTCCCATTACAATAATAAGAGAATTTGTATGACTTGGATGGATTTTCTGAACCACCAGTTTGGAATTAAGGGGGTCTCTAAATCTTTTATGACTTTCGAGATGAAATGCAGCTTAAATTTATAGTGCTGTGAAAGGACTAGACTGAGAATCAGTAACTGGTGAGACCTTACATATTTCTGCTCCTAATTTTCCTGGGCCTCAGTTTCCTTATCTGTAAGAATGTATATAATAATCTGCCTATTTCCCAGAGCTACTCTAGAAGAGGATCAAATGAGTTGATATTTTGAAGGCAATTTTCAAAGTATAAATTGGTATAGAAATGGATATGATCACTATCTATAAAATTGAATTTTCAGCAGCAAACAAGCCAATTTATATCTTCCATTTCCTCTAAACTTTTATAACAATTCCAAGGTATGTGTCAGAAACTTACCTGGCACCCTATAAATAAATCAAAGGACGTTCACCAGCAGAATACTACACAGCCACTAAAAGGAGTAAAGTAAGTCTATATGTCAGTATGAAAAGGTGGTCTAGAGAAGAGAGGAGAGCTTGAGGACCTTTCCCTTATAAGCCATTCAATTTTATATTGCTTAATTATTTTTCAATGATCATACATTACTTATACAATTTTAAAAATTGAAGTAAAAGAGAAAGAAGGAGCAAAATGAAGTGAAAGCAGGAGAAACAGGGAAGGAAAATGAGAATTAAATTATTTCCTTTATGCCACTGACAATTCCATACTGTGATTATTTTACAGTGAGCATTCATTACTTCAGTAATATTTTTTTAAAAATGAAAGAATGAATGAAAAGAGTAAAATAAGAAAAAGAAAGAGGAGGAGAGCAAGAAAAGGTCGAAATCAAGGACTTGTATTTTATTCCATGCAATTTGATTCTCTTAGGATGAGTAATTGTACTTTTATAATTAAAAAAATTGTAAAGGTAGGAAGAAAAGAAGGAAGGATGGAAAGAGGAAGGGGGGAAGGAGAGAAGGAAGAAAGGAAAGAGGAAGAGAGACACTTACCTAAGAACAGGATTCCTTTAACTTCCTACCCCTGTGTCACTGTGGAGACCAAAAGAAGAGTTTGCTTTACAAATGACCAGATCTGATGTCTAAATCCCTACATTTCATGTGAAATGGAACAAGATATTCATTATCTGCTGGCCATGCCTCAATCACCTTCTTTTCCAGATCAAACCAGACTCTCTGCTCTTAGCTTTATGGGGCTTATTGACTGTGGTAGATCCTCTTTTTGTGGCTTGGTGCACGTCATGGGGCTGCTCTCCCAAGCATAAAATTAGCCTGAGCAAAGTTCTCAGATTATTACATACCTGCAATATCCTATTAATTTGAGGACTCTTTCCCAATTTTCATTAAGGATTATCTTCAGTTTCTAGTTAATTATTGCTTTAACTAAGTTGGATATATTAAATGGGTACTTACTTAATTAAGGCTCATTTCATTTTATTAAGAAAATGGGGTGGGGTCAGAACTATAAGCAGAAAGCAAAGGCCAAAAAGGCGTTGAGATGTACATGTCTTAGGTTGTCAGTAAAAAGAAGACAACTCTTTGCCTTCACTGGAGATCTATTCTTCAAATCAACTTGAAAATAAATCAATTTACTGAACTAATTTTTGTGTCATTCGAGAGAGAGGGTGTAGTTTTTCTCTCAGAAGATGTCATTACAGCCCCTTTTGAAGCCATCAGATCCCATCAAGAATCCAGAGATGATCTCCTTCAGTCTCCATTCTTCACAGATAAGGATCCTGAGGTTCACATAGTAGATTGTTTATCCAAAGTCATAGACAGCTCATGAAGACAGAGAAAAAGCTAGAACTTAGGTCTGCTGACTCTTAGACCAGTGTATTTTCCTCTCCATCTCACACCCTAAGTGAAAAAATTCAGTCTAAAAGAGGCTGAGTCAACCAATCTGTAGGCCAGGATTCTCTATAGGGGAAGGGAGAAAGGGAAAGTGTATCAGAATCACTCATTATTTATCCCTAAGCCCACAAGCTGTGATTGGTACAGCAGATAAGAACCCAGGTTTGGCAAAGACAAACTTGAGATTGAATTTCAGCTATACAACCTTGACATCTCTTGAGCCCCTGTGTCCTCCTCACTTGTAAAACATGGATAATAGAACTCACCTCATATTTCTGTGATGATTATATAACATACCATGTGTAAAGGTGCTTGACCCACTGCTTCTCACAGAGTTCCGTGTCACAGCTACTATCCAGGGCTCCAAAGCGTCTCTTTTCCAAAACGCATAAGGCTTAGGCTTTGTGACCTGTCCCCCACAGATCTTGCAAGAAGTGTGATACAATGGTCAAGGAGCTCCTTGGCACTTCCCTGGCACTTGTTGGTACTTCATGCCATGCTTGTCATTGGTCTATCACCCCACACAACATTAAGCTTCAAAAGGGCAGGAACTGCATGATATTCAGTAGTTGAGACATTGCCTGTCACACAGTCAATATTTACTAAGTGAATGAATATGCCTTTCTCCCCTTCTAGAGTGTAAACTTCCTAAGGATACAGAAATACATCTCTACTCTCCTTCTGCCCTGCTCTAGGAGTTAGCATAGTGCCTAACACATTATAGGTGCTTAAACAGTATCTGATACATTAAAGATTGTCATGGTTTGAATAGGAGTAGTGTTCTCCAAAGATCCTTGGGGTGACACTATCAAGAAGTACTCTGGACCTTTAAGATGTGGGGCCTAGTAAGAGATCTTTAGGACATTGGAGTTGTGCCCTTGAAGGAGATTGTGGGACTACAGTTTCTCTCTTCTTCCTGGCTCAAAATGTGAGTGCTTGCTCTGATACATGTTTCTACCAGGATGTGCTGCCCTCATGACAGGCCCAAAGCAGTGGGTCACCCAATCTTGCATTTGAACCTCCAGAACCATAAGCTGAAAGTACTTCTCTTTACAAGAAATAAGGGATAAAAAAAGGATCTCATGAAAAAAAAAAAGGAGAATAGTAAAGTGGATGAAGAGGATCTAGAAGAGGCAGGAGGGTGGAAAGGAGAGAAATTGACAAATTAAATTGTCAAGTTATGCTATGTACATATGTGAATATATCACAATGAATCCCACTTTTATACATAATTATAATGTACCAATTAAAATAAATAAATCGAAGGAAGAACAGTAGAGTTGAGGAAGGGGATCATGGGAAAAAGGAGGAAAAGGAAAGGGGAAGTACTAGGGAATTAAGTGGAGCAAATTATACTAAATATGTGTAAATGTGGCACAATGAATTCCACTATTATGTATAAGACGCTAATATAAACATTTTCAAAAAACTCTCTTTACTTCATAAGTAGACTGTCAGATATCTTGTTCTAACAATGGAAACCAAATACAAAGATGAGGATGATTTGAAGAGAATATATGGAGAAATACTTGGATATACCAATAAAATTCTCTAGAAGGAGATTATGATGAGAATAGCTGCTTCTAGAAAGACAGGCTGAGGGTGGGAGCAAAAGTTACTTTTCACAGGGTATACTTTTTTATGATGTTAGAATTTTAGTCATCTGCATGTGTTATTTTTTTCAAAGAAAAACATTGTATATTTTTTTTCCAAAGAAAATCCAGTGTAGGTAAAAATAAATCATCAACTGGAAAATGAAGTTTGTGCAAAAAAAAAAGAAAAAAGTTGGAGTTGAGTTCTTTGATTATGGAAAAAATTGCCACCTACTATATAGAAGTTCCTCAAAAAATTAGGAATGAACTACCATATGACTCAGCTATCCCTCTCCTTGGTATTTATCCAAAAGTACTAAAATCTGCACACTATAGCAATACATCCCACCTCAATGTTTATAGTCACACAATTCACAATAACCAAATTAAGGAATCAACCCAGATGCATATAACTTGATGAAAGGATTCAGAAATTGTGATCTGTATACACAATAGGGTTCTACTCAGACATAAAGAAAAATAAAATTATGTTATTAGCTGATAAATGATGAACATTATGCTAAGTAAAAGAAGCTAGTCTCAGAAAGTCAAAGGTCAAATGTTTTCTCTCATATGTTGCAGCTAGAGAAAAAAAATAAAAGAAAGAAGGAGGGGAGGATCAGACCGAATAAAAGTATAGGGAAGATCAGTGGAGTTGAAGAGGGAAATCCACAGGGAGAAAGGAGGGAGAGAAAAGGGGAGGAAATGTGGGATGAATTTTTAAACAATCATCCTAGGTAAATATAAATACATGACAGGGAATTTCACTTTTATAAGGAGAAAGAATCAATCAAAAATAAATAAATAAATGAGTGAAAGGAAGATCAGTAAAGTAGAGGAAGGAGAATGGGGGAGAGAGGGAAAGGGAGGAGATATGAACTGAAATCCAATTCCATGAATGTATGAATTTGTGGAGATGATCGCAAGTACTATGTATAACTATAATGCTCTAATAAAAAATTCACTAAGAAACAAAGAAATAAATATTTTAAGAGCTAAAAAATGCCACCTGGGAGGGCTTCAGTGGGTATCTTTCATTCTCTCGAAAAGGTTATAAGGAGAATGATGACCATCTGTTCTCCATATCTACAGAGTAATAGGAAATGGACTGAAATTGCAGCAGGAGATATGGTTTAAACATAAATAAGTCATTATTGACCATAGGAGTTGATAAACACCAGAAAAGGATATCACAGGATGTTATGAGCTATCCATCCCTGGAAACTGGACAGCCTAGATAGCCATATGGCTCTACTGATTTACTTCGCCCCCAGACAGGACTGAACTAAATAACTTGATATTGTCCCCATATCTAACACCAGAAAAGACCTACAACCTTCTGTTAAAGGTCCAGGCTATCACCATTACTTTTCCACGTTCTAGGTGTAAGCATCACACCAGGGCAATTGGGAGTGTGGTGAATTCCACATGACATGGCTCCCAACCAAAACCCAGCTATTTAATTTGGACTCAACCACAGGATTAATTAAGGGGCTCAGCGCTGGAAGGAAAAAAAAATTATCTGTATTAGTAACTTCCTGAGAGGTTCTGAAGGACAATTTTGATTATATTTGATTGCCATGTTAAACAGTACCATCTAACTGATAACCTATTCGTTATCACTCCTATGTTTACCTTCATACTTTAACTACATATGCTGGCATCCCTCAATAATATGTACTATTGCTTTGTATAACAGTACTACATGTGTTTTAAATATCACAAGTTTACATGCTTTTAGACATGACATATTATATGTATTATACCTTAAGAAAGGCAGCAAAGCATACAAACTAAAACACTCTGAAGCCAGACCACTTGGTTTCTCTAATATCTCACTGCCTTAACTTCCTCATCTGCAAAATGGAATATGATTGATTATGAAGATGTTTATGATGCCCTGAGCAACACAGTGAGACCCTGTCTCTAAATAAAATATAAAAAAGGACTGGGAATGTAACTCAGTGGTTAAGTGTCCCTAAGCTCAATCCCTGGTACCCCAAAAAAACAGATTTTAAAAAAGATGTTTATAGTGATGATGGCCACCCCTAGTGTTCTCATGGAATAAATGAGATAATATATACAAAGCACTTAGAATACTCTCTGGTATGGAATAAAAGCTTTATAAGTATTAACCATGATTATGTATTTTTTGCAACTTGTTTTTCAAGCTCAAAAGTATTCATTTAGTGAGCAAAATTTGAGTGTCCACTATGTGCAAGGCATAATTATAAGGTGCTAGGGTTTTGGCAGTGAACAAACAGATAACTCTCCCTTCTCATCCCATAAAACATATATTCTAGTGGGAGTAGACAGCAAACAAGAAAATAAGGAAAATGTAACATACCTGAAGGCAATAAATGCCATAGACAAAGATGGAATGGGAATAGGATATCCAGAACTGGTGTGGGGAATGCATTCAACTCAGGACCTTGCACATGTTAGGCAAGCATTCTACCATGGAGCTACATCCCAACCTTTCTTATTTATTTTGAGTCAATGTTTTACTAACTTGCCCGGCCTGGCCTTGAACTTGCAATGCTCCTGCCTCAACCAACCTCCCAAGTTGCTAGGATTACAGGCTTGAGACACTGTGCTGGTGGAAATGTCATTTTAAATAGAGCAATGGAGGGTATCCTCACTGACACAGTGTTGTTTGAACAAAGACCTGAAGAAAGTAAAGGAGTGTGCCAGGCACAGTGGGGCATGCCTGTAATCCCAGGAGCTCAGGAGGCTGAGGCAGGAGGATCACAAGTTCAAAGCCAGCCTCAATAACTTAGCGAGGCCCTAAGGAACTCAGTGATAACCTGTCTCTAAATAAAATATATTTAAAAAGAGTTGGGGATGTGGCTCAGTGGTTGAACACCCCTGGGTTCAATCCCCAGTACCAAAAAAAGAAAGTGAGGCAGTGAATCATGGGGACACTTAGAGAGTGACCCAGGCAAGAGGAAATACCCTGTGTGCCACTGGGTGTTTGAAGCCTTACTGGAAATAGTACTGAGGTCAGCATGCCTAAGCACAGAGAGAATATGGAAAACAATGAGAAAAGAAGTAAGAGAGGTCATGGACCCAAATCACACAGGGTCTTGTGGTCCATGTTAAAAACTTTGGTTTTACCCTGGAGAAATGGGGACACATTGCAGAGCTTTAAAAAAAAAACTTTTTTATTTTGAAATAACATCAGACTTACAGAAGAACCATATGAAAGCAAAAAGCACTCTTATATCCTTCATCCAGATTTTCCAATTGTTGACATTTTGCCACATTTGCTTCATATATTTTTGAATCATTTGAGAGTAAATTGAAGACATCGTGTCCCTTCACTCCAAATTCCCAGCAGGCATTTTCCTCAGAACAAGAATAGTTTCTTATATAACTGCAATAATCAAAATGAGGATATTTACATTGATGTAATACTATCTCATATACAGTCCATATTTGTATTTAGCCAACTGTCTCACTAATGTCCTCTATTACATTTGCCTCAGTCTGATCCAGGATCCAATCTAAGATGACACGCTGCTTTTAGGTATCATGATTTTTCAGTTTCCTTTAATCTGGAAATGTTCCTCAGCCTTTCTTTGACTAATGGCACTGACGTATTTGAAGCTTACAGTCTAACTATTTTTTGGAATATTCCTTAATGTGGGTTTGTCTAATCTTCCCTCATGGTTCAGATTATGCATTTTTGGCAGGAACAGCACCAAAGCGATGTATCTTTCTCAGTACATTGCATTTTGAGACACATGATATCAGTTTGTCCCATTATTGGGAATGCAAACTTTGATCACTTGGTTAAGATGATGTCTGCCAGATTTTTCCACTGTAGTTTTTATTTTCCCATCTGTAACTTATAAGTGATCTGTAGGGAAACACTTTGAGTTTGTGTGAATAATCTGTTTGGCCTCAAATTTCCAACCAATAGTTTCAGCATTCACTTCAAGTTTTCACCTGATGGCTGCCAAATTATATTTTTCTATTTTTATCATTTTTCTACATTTATTAGCTTTTTACTGAAAGAGTTCCCCCTTCTCTCATATTCATTCTTTTTATCAGTATGAACTCATAGATTCATATTTTAATCAATGGGTTACAACATATTATAGATTATAAGATACTATATTTATGCTCAAATTGTCCCAAATTGGTCCAAGGGAAGCCCTTTCATACTGGTTTCTCTCAGTATTGTAGATTGAACTTAGGTTGAATTCAGGGGCCCTCTGCCACTGAGCTACATCACCAACCATTTTTTGTCTTTTTATTTTTTATTTTGAGACTGGGTCTTGCTAAGTTGCTGAAGCTGGCCTTGAACTTGGGTTTCTCCTACCTCAACCTCCTGATTTGTTGGGATTATAGGCTTGTACCACTGGACCCTGCTTCTGTGTCCTTTTAACATGTTCCCATCATTCCTTAAGCAATTCCTTACTTTCTTACGCAACAGGTTTATCTTGCATTTCCCCTGCCTCATACTTAAAATCCACCCTCATTCCATTTAGAGAGAAATGGTGTCTAGAAACCAACATCTGAGTTATGACAGGTTTGAGCAGAAGAGTAACATGATCTGACATGTGTTAACAATATCACTCAGGCTGCTGTGTTAAAATTGACTCTAAGGGGACTAAGGAGAATACAGTAGGGTGCATCTTTGTTATCAGAACAAACTTCTTTTTCTGCAATGCAAATCTGACCATGTGGCTTTTCTGCCAAAACTCTCTGGTAGATCATATCACTTATAAACTTAAAGTTCTGTGACATTGCAAAGAAAGGTTTTCCATAGTCTGGCCCCTTGAAAATTCTCCACTTTCATTCCCCAATACTCCCCTTCCTCAAATACCATATTTTGCCTACAGTAAACCATTTAGAGTTCC